TTCACTTTGGGGTTCGCAACAGGCAGCTCAGGGACCCTGAATGTTTTTTTAGTTTAAACAATGAAAGCTTTATCTCTGCAGCTTTGGACACCGAAACTTCCCGTTAAATTCTGCTAAGGCCGTTTCCTCTCTGGAGAAGTCTGTGTTCTCTCTTGAATGCTTGTTCCTCATTTTCTCTCCACTCACTTTTCTCTAAGTAGACTTATTTCATGGGATAGGAGCAAAAATTCTTATACAAAATATTAACCAAAAAAATCTGGTTTTCTGAAAGGATACACAAAACTGATCAAACACTAATCTCAGAGGGGACAAGAATGAGAAAACCCTATTTAAAAAAGAAAAATCTACAGCAAACAAGAAATTACAATTGACACAACATAAATCCAAGCAACATATGATATCTCTATGAATGTCTGTGACAAGTCAACTGGAAAAGCAGGAAGAAATGAACAGAGATTGAGAATTTTGAGACCTCCCAGGACTAAACAGGGAAGTTGAAGAGAGTCAAAATCAGGGGCGAGCCCAACAGCACAGCGGGGAGGGCGTTTGCCTTGTAAGCAACTGATCCAGGTTCTATCCCGACATCCCATATAGTCCCCCGTGTACCACCAGTGTAGAGCCAGGAGTCACCCCTAAGCACCACCAGGTAGTACCTCCCCAATAAAGCAAAAAATAATAAAATAAATTTTTAAAAATAAAAACAGTCGAGTCCCCCAAAGAACAAAAGGCCAGAACCAGATAACGTCACTCACGCAGTCGCCTTTCAAACTTTCAAGTAGCGTCTCATACCAACTTTTCTCAGACTCCTCTAACATTTCCGCGGTCCAAATGACCCTGATCTAAATCTAGAAAAGGACAACATATACAGAAATAAGAACAATCAATATGCATGGAAACGTACATGGAAAATTTTCGCCCGAATCTTGGCCGAAGTCAGCAACGTTGTAGTGGCTTTCATACCAGGGATCAAGGTGAATCAACTCAACCAACGCAAATCAACTAAGTCTTACACCGCACAGCCAGAAAACAACCTGAGGGGGCTGGAGGGATGGCACAGCGGGGAGGGCATTCGCCTTGCACACGGCCAACCCGGGTTCGATTCCCAGCATCCCACATGGTCCCCCGAGCACCACCTGGAGAATTCCTGAGTGCAGAGCTAGGAGGAAGGCCTGTGCATGTCTGGGTGTGACCCAAAAAGCAAAAAAAAAAAAAAGAAGAAGAATCTGAACATCCCCAAAGTCAAGGAAGTAGTTCAAAGGAGCCGTGTAGGAAGCGTGAGTCTGATCCCTAGTGGCCCAGGGACCCCCACACCCCGCTGACCACTCTGCCCTGCAGGCCCAGAAACTGACCATCATCCCCTGACTTTTTTCCACGGGCAACGAGCTGGGGTTTGGGGGCGGAAGCCGGCCCTGCCCCTCGGCCCGCAGCCCGCCCTGCCATGGGGGCGGACAGGCAGTGGCAGGTCCAGGCAGGGAAACAATTGGGGTGCAGCGACCCGGGGCGGCCGGGGCTGCTCCCGGCCGTCCGCCTCATTTCTCCTCCACAAAGTGCCGGAGGGAGAAAGGGAGAGACAAAGGCGCTAAAGAAAGAAAACGAGCAGATGACGGAGCTAAGGCTAAACCAAGCTTGCGCCCAAGGGTGGACTGACGCAGCGGGCTGGGGGTCCACCCCCACCCCCAACGGGTGCTGAGTGCCGGAGGAGCCGGGGGTGAGGGGGGACACAGGGACAGGATGCCTTCTGCAAATGAGGTCAGAAGGAGACCCCCAAATTCCAAATCCCACGGGAAGAGTGAGACATGGTTGCCCAGAGGACCCCAGGCCCCCATGGGAGTGACCCCCCAGGAATGAGGGGGCTTCCAAGGAACTCACAGTCCAGTGTGGACACAGACAAGCCAAGTGGACACAGAAATAGGTAGGGGGGAGCTCGGTCTGTGGACAGAATCTCCTACACACCTGCTGTGTGACCAGAGGCAAGTGACTTACCCTCTCTGGGCATCACTGCCCTGCCCGCCCTTTCTTCCTCCCCTTGAGCACTCAGTACAGTGAGTCCCCGATAAAGGGCATTTCCACGGGAATGAGGCACCACTGGGCAAAGAGAAATTCCCACCCCCACCCCCACCCCCAGAGCCTTCACCCCCTCTCCTCCTCCCCCCGGAAGTTCTGAGATCTCTCCCGGCACAGTGGGGGTGGTGTCTTCATTTTCGTCTTTTCCAACCAGGGTCAGCAACACTTCCTGGGAAGAGCCGGAGAGGAGAGACTGGCGGGCTGTGGGCGCGCGCCCTGTCCACCCGTCCACCCGGTGGGTCGGACTCACTCCCGCAGGCCCTGGGCACAGACTCGTGGGGGCCCAGGCCCAGAGAGGGGAGCAGGAGCCCAGAGAGACCAACAGTCTCACACTCTTAAAGGGCCCTTCCTGCAAGTGTCTGGTTCCCTGAGGAGCAGGGAGGGAGGAGGGGGGAGGAAAGGAGGGAGGGGGGAGGGAGGAAGGAAGGGAGAGAGGAGGTGGGGGGGGGGGGGGGACGGGCGGAGAGGCAGCCTGGGAAGCTTCACAGCTCCTGCCTCTGCACTGGGCTGAGGTGCACAGTCCCAGGCGACCTCTCCAGTCTCCCGGCCCGGGGTCCTGTCCGCTTGCCACTGGCCCGAGGGGAATGGACCGGGGGGGGGGGGGGCGCCCCCCTGTCCGGGGTGAGGAGGGGCGCAATGGGGCCACAGGGACGTTGAGGGCCCCACCCGCTCTGGGTCTCCTCGTCATGTTTCTTGTGTACCAACAGCAACATGGTTACCATGGAGCCCACCCGAGCATGGAGCATGCGAGCATCTGAGCATCGAGCATCTGTGGTCAGCCGCTGCCCCCACCCCTCCCCGGGGAGCAGCAGGGCCCTTGGTGAGGGGAGACACTCAGGGAGGAGCTTGGGCTCACTGCTGCCCCCAGTGGGCACCGGCCGCAAGTGCAGCAGGGCCTCTCCGGCCACCTGCAGTCAGGAGGGACGGACGGACGGACAGAGGTGGGCATTCAGGGCTGGTGGGGACCCTGGACACGGCTTTGTGTGGGAGAACAGGCATTCACCCCCTATTTGCCTGAAATGGGAGATGGGAGGAAGGAATGGGGGCAGCGGCTGGGCGGGAAGACGGAGAGGAGGGCACTGGGCTTGCATGGACGGAGGGAGGAAGGGAGGGAGGGAGGGAGGGAGGGAGGGAGGGAGGGAGGGAGGAGGAAACTATTCGTGGAGGAATAGCAGAGGTTTCAGGAAAACATGTCCCTGGAGCACTTTTCCCGGCGGCAAGCAGCTACAGGGGCGAGGGCGCAGCTGGGGAGGGTTTTGTCTCCGGAGCACCGGGGCCAGAGCCCCCGCTTCGGCCAGGCAAGGAGCAGCAGGCCTGCAGGACCAGCAGGCGGGCACAGCTGGCGAGGGCAGGCACCTGGTGACCGGGACGGCGGGGTGCTGGGAGGCCCATCCCCAGCGGGCAGTGGGCAGAAACGCCCCAGGGTGCCGGCGAACCCCAGCTCAGGGGGCAGCCTGGTCTCCGTCCCTGATCTCCGGGATCTGCAGGCAAGAAAGGACGCAAACGGGCACGCCCAGGACCCGCCCTCAGCCTGCCCAGTTTGTGTAGCGGGATGAATCCTGCAAGGCAGGGACAGCGCCCCGGTCCAGCGCAGAGGCCAACAGCGCCACCCGGTGGCCCTCTTCTGAGCACGGAGCTGCCCCCTGGACTCCAGATTTGGGGGGCCAGGGAGGAAACCTCATGTCCCCGACTACAGTCAGGAGAATCTGAGCAATAGTGGAACCAGAGCGATAGCACGGCGGGGAGGGCGTTTGCCTTGTGCACGGCCAACCAGGGTTCAATCCCCAGCACCCCATAGGGACCGCCGAGCACCGCCAGAGGTGATCCCTGAGTGCAGAGCCAGGAGGAACCCCTGAGCATCGCCGGGTGTGACCCAAAAACTCCTCCCAAGGAGCTGGAGAGATAGCAGAGAGGAGAGGGTGTTTGCCTTGCACGCAGCTGACCCGGGTTCGATTCCCAGCATCCCATATGGTCCTCTGACCACCGCCAAGAGTAGCCCCTGTGCATCACCAGTGTGACCCCCCAAAAAAAAACAAAACTCCCCCCAAAATAATATGGATGAGGAATCTCAAAGAGAAATGATAAGCACTCTGCACCTGGAGCCACAGATAATTTTGCTAGATAATAGTAATGATACTATGATAATTGGATCATTCTATCTCTACTGGTTCAAGTCCCTCTAGCCATCACCACCTTCCAGGAAGAACCATGCCAGGGGCCTGGCATGGTCAGCCCAGGCTTGACCGCCAGCAGGATCCCCTGCGTTCATGGGGGCAGATGCTGAGCGGCATAAAATGTGCCTTTCCCCCAAAAGAGACAAAGTCCACCAAAGTGACCACGGTCAGGCCCAAGAGGGTCGGGCTTGGGTCATTTTACTTGTTGACTTCCTTAGGTTCTTGGCGATTCTATATTTTTTTACACTTAAAAAAAATGAAAAGTTCAGGGCTGGAGCGATAGTATGATGGGTGGGGTGTTGGCCTGACACGTGGCCGACCCAGGTTTGATCCCTGGCATCTTATATGCACCCCCAATTCTCCCCAGGGATGATTCCTGAGTGCAAAGCCAGGTGTAAGCCCTGAGCACCTCGGGACGAGGCCCCCAAAAAGCAAGAAAATAAAGATATTGTCCAAAAAACAAGAAAACAAGAAAATAAATAAAGATATTGTCCCTAGACACAGAGGCACTTCAGAAATATAGAGATGACCCAGGTCCATCACACACACACACACACACACACACACACACACTCCCCCAGGCTGCTGGATCCGAACCATCCAGAACCTGGAACCTCCCCTGGATGGGCGCCCCGGGGGGAGGAGGGGTGCTGCGCTGCCCCTCCCGCTTCCCAGCCCCCCTCCTGGGTCCTCTGAGGACCGGTTCTGCCACCCTCCTCCCTCAGCTCTGCCCCCTGCTGGCCACCGGCGACCCCGCCTCACCTGCCCTGTGGACGTTGCGCAGGCAGGTGAGCGAGGCGTTGAGGCGGGCGCACTCCTCCTGGTTCACGCCGTACTTCTCCACCGTCTGGCACACCTGCTCGTCCGTCATCTCCAGGAGCTCCTCCAGGCTGAGCTGGCTCGGGGTGATCTCCTGGCGGGGGGGCGGGAGGGTCAGCGGCGGGGGGCGCCGGGCTGGGGGGCTGCTCCAGCCCCACTTCTGGGCTGCCCGCCCTCAGCCTCGGGAGCCCACCGCCAGCACGCGGGGAGGGGGGATGTGCTTAGTTTGTCTGTCTCTTCCCTGCCCCCGCCAGCCCAGAGCCCCCCGTGGGCAGTGCTCCCTGTCCCTCCTCCCCGGACGGACGGCCGGTATCACCGCACGTGTCCCAAACCCCGGGTGTGACCCCAGAGCAGAGCAAACCGGAAACCCCAATTCCCGGTGGCTTCTCTTTACTCCGGACCCAGCCCAGGGTCATGCCAGGTGGGGACCCAGCAGGCGGGTGCAGGGCCGGGGGACAAACTGGCTGTGTGATGGGCACCCAGGGGACACGCAGAAGGGGGTCATGCTAAACCCAAGAGACAAAGTGGCAGGGAGGGACAGGGCCAGGAGTGGGGGAGGGACACCCAGAAGAGCAGGAAACAGGAAAGGAGGTGGGGAGGGGGGAGGCATGCTCTCCTCACCCTCACCACGGCCCCTGCCTGGACCAAAATGAATTCCAAGATAGCAGACTATGGACAACCAACCTTGAAATCTGTCTACATTTATGCGTCTATAAAAAGAAAGTCTTCACTTTACAGCACGGAATGGTATCCAATGGCTTAACATAAAGTATTGTTATTATTAAAATAAGATATCTAAGGGATATCTAAGGATGGAGCTATTTAAGGGTAATTCCAGAATCTAGGGCAAAACTGTGGGGCACCTCTGCCCTCTTGTGGCCATTTTTGTGTATTGCAGTCACATCTCTCCCTCCCTCCCTCTCTTCCTCTCTGTCTCTATCTCCCTCCCTCTCTCCCTCTATTTCTCCCTCCCTTTATCTCTATCTCCCTCTCTCCTTACCCCCTCTCTCCCTCACTCTCTCCCTTTCTCTCCCCTCTCTCCTCCCTCTCTCTCCCTCTCTCTCCCTCTTTCTCTCTCTCCGTCTCTCACCCCCCTCTCTCCCTCTCTCCATCTCTCACTCCCTCTGTCCCTCTCTCTTTCTCCCTCTCTCCCCCCTCTCCCTTTCTCCCCCATCTCATGCTGTGTGTATCACTGTCTTCTTTTTGGATCAGGATTCCCCTTGTGCCTTTTTTTTTTCACTTATGCATTCTAATCCTACAATTTACCATTAACATGCAAGTTTTGGGTCACCAAAAATAAATATGACATTTAAAATGGAGAATAAATCTGAGCCAAAAGAGCAAGTGATGACGATGATGAATGTATTACGTTCTGCTCTTCATGGGTTTTAACATCACAAGGACTGCGTGTGTGTGTGCGTGCGCGTGTGTGTGACAGAGCTGCGCTCTTCAGGTCACCACTGGTCTGTAAGTAGGACAGTAAACCAGATGGGTCAGGCGGCAAGCAAGTGTGACCCCAGGCTCAGCGCCCATTTTTCTTCAGAGGGCGCCCTCTTCTGGACACGTGCGAATTACAGGGGACGCTGGCACCCTGGCTCCGTTCCCGCCGGCCACCCCGCCGGGCTGGTCCCCTCCCCGCAGTAAGGTGAGGGGCAAAGCCCGGGAACTGCAGGCAGGCGGATGGAAAGGAGCTAAACTACAAACCTGCAGGACCTGCAAGCACCTGCAAGGACCTCGATTCAGGGCACTGACGCCAGTCGGGCCTCAGGTTGGACGTGGTGACCAATTTTTCAAGAAAGGAGACATGTGTATTAATAAAAACTTAATTTTTAAAAATTAGCGGGGGGAGACTGGAGAGCTAACACAGCAGGTAGGGCATTTGCCTTGCACGAGGCCAACCCGGGTTCGATTCCCAGCATCCCATATGGTCCCCTGAGCACTGCCAGGAATGATTCCTGAGTGCAGAGCCAGAGTAACCCCTGAGCATCGCCGGGCGTGACCCGAAAAGATAAAACAAATTAGCTCAAGCAGAGCTTTTGGACACTGGTCTCAGTCAAACCGCGTCGGTGGATTGGGGGCGGCGGGCAGTGCTGGGAAGAGCTCGGTGGGCTGCAGCACATCCTCTGCCATGGGGGGCTGCTTCCAAGCCCCCACTGCAGGGTCTGGGACCACTCCGGGGAGCCGCCCCCGACCCACGGCTGGGAACTTCCCCTGAGCATCGCCAGCTGCGGCTTCAAATCAAAGGGCAATAAAACGGGGGAACAAATGCCCCTCCCACGGTGGTTCTCGCGGGATGGTGGCCACGATTTGGCTTCCAGGAAGTGTGGGGACCCCCCGGGGCCAGCGGGTGTCAGCTCTGTCCAAGAAGCAGCGGGTTCTGCCTCACACGCTAAGTGACCGGACAGAACCGGGGAAGGGGCGTGCCCGGGTGCTGAGGAGTAAACCCGGGGCTCCAGCGTAGAGCAAGTGCTCCAACCAAGCCCTTGCACCTTCTCTCCAGTCCGGGGGCCGCGCTCCGGCTCGAGTGAGGGATTGGTAAGTGGAAACAGATCCTGTGCCTAGGAACCCCCTCTGCTCGCCCCCTTGGGCGCCTGGAGATGCCACGCCTTCAGCTAGGCGCGGGGCAGGGGCGCAACCGTGGGGCAGGGGGCGCGCGGGGCAGGGGCGCGCGGGGTAGGGGCGCGGGCGCAGGGCAGGGGTGCGGGAGGCAGGGGTGCGCGGGGCAGGGGTGTGGAGCAGAGGGCGCGCGAGGCAGGGGCGCGCGGGGCAGGGGTGCAGAGCAGGAAGCGCACAGGGTAGGGGCGCGCGGGCAGGGGAGGGGCGCGGTCACCTCCAGAACTTCCTGGCGCACGTCGACGATGCGGAACCAGTGGCGCAGCTGCGGAAAGCCCTCCAGCTCGGCGGTGCGCTCCTGCAGCGCCACCTTCTTCTTGCAGGACAGCTGCCGGCTGAAGTACTTCACCAGCTTGCTCTGCGGAGACACGGTGGGGACGGAGGGAACGGGCGGGGGCGGGGGCGTGATTTTAGGGAGCAGCCAGCCCCGTGCCCCACCCCACTCCCACCCATACTGCTGGATCCACTGTGGCACACCCCCCCCGCATGGGCCCCTCGTCGTCCCGGGTGGGGAGCGGGGGGGCCTCTGGCGTTTATCCATCTTCAGCCCCCGGTGCCCGGCAATCCCACTCTTGCGAATTTGTGGCATTTCTTTCTGCCAGCAGAAACGCCCCCACCCCCCACCCCCCCCACCCCACCCCCGCGGTCGTGGGATGAGAGGCAGAGGGTTCTTTCTCACGGCTTTGTCCGCGGTAGCCACCAAGAGCAAACACCCGGGTGTCCATCCGTGGGCACCCACAAGTGAGGTCATGACACCCTAAGAACCCTACAGTCCGCGAGCCAACAGGCGGATGGATGCGCGCGGCGTGGTCCTGATGCAGGAGCGCCCAGTCAACACAAGCCCGCGCTGCTCCCCCTGGCGGACGGCCGTGCAAGGTGCATGCTTTTATCTCCCTAAAATCACTGGCCCCCTGGGGTGCCCCCAGGGAAGGGCGGGGGTAGTGGGGTGAAAGTGGGGGCAGGGGTGGAAAAACCCCTGTTTAGACCCTCGGGTTTAGATCCTCGGGACGTGAGGTGAGCTGCAGCCCAGGCTTCTGAGGGAGAAAGACAGAGAAAGGGAAGTTGCGTTGCCTAGCGGGGATGGAGTTAGCACCACACAGAAGGGAGGCGGGCACGTGGCCAGAGCAGGAGGCAAGCGCAGGACCCTGCCTTGATCGGGAGGGGAACAAGAGGGGCGGGAGGAACTGTGGTTGAGGGTCTCTGGTTCAGGGGCGGGGCACATGCCTTGCAGGTGTGAAACTCCAGGTTAGAACCCCAGCATCACAAACAAGAGCAATATCAGTAATAATAATAGCTACCCAAGTGACAAATCTCATCTTTGGCATTTACCATGGATTTAATAAAGACAAATGAAAAAGCACGAGGTGACTTAGGTGTCCACAGGGATTTTGGTTTGGTTTGGGATTTACTGGGGGTTTTTTTGGGGGGGGGATGCATATCAAAGCACACCCATAAACTTGGATCAAGGGAAAGCTCTAGAACTCCAAGAACACAAAATTCAGGGCAGGGAAGGGAAACCGTGGGTATCTGCTCCTTCCCACTCATTTCCCTTTTTCTGGAGAGAAGTAAAGGCTGGTCGGCTTTAGTTGTTCAAGTGTTTTGTATGTTTGTTTTTAATTTTTTTAAAAAAGAGAAATAAAATGTCCCAAATTTAGAAATATGTCTCATATTTCTGCACTGCCCAGGATATCACTCTCAAACCGCTAGAGTATCTTTTACCATGATCAAGCATTACTAATACCTAATTTAATATATTTTTAAACCCTGTAATGTTCCAGAATGTGCTCAACTAAAGCCCGCAAAGCTTATCGATGAAATTAAACAGCACTTTAATTTTTTTCTCAAGTCTCTAGGCAAGTGAATGATGTGATTAAATCTCTGCTTCCAGAGATTGGTTAGAAGCAGAAACTGGATAGCGGGAATGACACTTTAAATTAAAAAATAGAAGATAGATTCGATTACATAGACAGAGAGGGGCTAGAATGGTAACAGATTCTAATGGTAAGGAGAAGGGATATATATATATTTTTTAAACCCATCATTCTAATCCCAGCAGGACTTTATGCCATTTTCTATCTATTCGAGAACAAGCCAGCAGAGAAACAGAGGCAAACTAGCAAGATATGTGTTTAAGGGAGAACATTTAATTGGATCTCGGGGGGGAGGGGAACAAGGTGTCTTCCTAATTCCTTATTTCCATCCTGATTTTGAATTGACTAGGATTTAACCCTACCCACTTACGGAAACGCTCGAATATAGCCATCCTTTTTGAACACTAGCAAACACTGAGTTTCCTGCTAATTCGCTGGTCTCAGCATTATTTTCTGAGTAAGGGAGGTTTTACTCTGTCTTTTCTATACCTCTGCAGCCAATGTTGGGTTTCAAGTATGGAGAGACAAACACGGGAAGAAACGGAAGCATCTGGGATGCTTGCCTCTGCCCTGCCCCGGCCTCCACAGCTCCAGAGAAGCAAGGAAGGAGCAAAGGACTCCTTGTCCACTGGAAGCCAGCAACAAGGTGTCTCCTATCTTCGAGGAAGCATTTGTTGGGGCCAGAGCGAGAGGACAGTGGGGAGGGCGCTTGCTTTGCATGCGGCTGACCCAGGGTTTGATCCCCGGCGTCCCATATGGTCCCCCGAGCACCACCAGGAGTGATTCCTGAGTACAGAGCCAGGAGGAACCCCTGAGCATCTCCAGATGCGTGGCCCCAAAGCAAAAATAAATACTACATAAAAATAAAAAATTTAAAAAGAGGAAGAAAGCATTTGTCGTCACAGAAGATGGGGAAACTTGGTGAAGACTAGAGGCTTTGGGGAAGGATGAGAGCTCCCCGGGTTTGCCTCGCGAGGAGGAGGGGCCCAGGCACGGGGGTATGAGCTCAGCACTTTCTTCCTGCCCAAATCTCCAAGATTAACCTTAGCGCAGGAGTGACACGCACCTGACACAGACTCGGGAGACCCAGACTTCGCCCCGATAAGTTACAGCTTTCAACACCCGAAGCCAACTTCTGATTTCCTTTGGGGGACTCACACCCAGTGATGCTCAGGGGTTCCTCCTGGCTCTGAATTCAAGAATAGCTCCTGGCGGTGCTCAGGAGACCCTTTGGGATGCCGGGGATCGAACCCGGGTCGGCCGCGTGCAAGTCAAACGCCCTCCCCACTGGACTCTCGTTCTGGCCTTAGACGACTTTGGATTCCATCGTGTCTTTTTCCTTCTCTTCCACTGACAGCCAAGAATACCACTTGCTGCCTCTGACAACAGCTACATGGTTTTATTTCTACACACAGGCCTGGTTTGTTTGTTTGTTTGTTTGTTTGTTTTTAAGAACAGACAAATTGAGTTTGGTTTAGAGATGGAGGCAGAGTGTCTTAAAATCTGTACCTTATCCCAGGTCCAGATGGATTCACTAGCGAATTTTTCCAAACATTTAAAGAGGACCTATTGGCAGTTCTTCTCAAGATTTTCCAGGAAATTGAAGAAACAGAAACTCTTCCAAACAGTTTCTATGAAGCCCATATCTCTTTAATGCCAAAAAGAAACAAAGACACCACAAGAAAAGAAAACTACAGGCCGATATCCCTAATGAACACAGATGCGAAGATTTTCAACAAAATACTAGCAAATAGAATTCAACAACTCATCAAAAAGATCATACACCATGACCAAGTGCAATTCATCCCGGGGATGCAAGGATGGTTTAACATTCGGAAATCAATCAACATAATCCATCATATCAACAAAAGAAAAGATAACAACCATGTGATCATATCAATAGATGCAGAGAAAGCATTTGACAAGATCCAGCACCCATTTATGATGAAAACCCTCGCCAAAATGGGTATAGAGGGGACTTTCCTCAATATAGTTAAAGCCATCTACCACAAGCCTACAGCAAGCATCATCCTCAATGGGGAAAAACTGAGAGCCTTCCCCCTGAGATCAGGGACGAGACAAGGATGCCCACTCTCTCCACTGCTGTTCAATATAGTACTGGAAGTATTTGCAATAGCGATTAGGCAAGAAAAAGATATTAAGGGCATCCAGGTAGGAAAGGAAGAAATCAAGCTCTCACTATTCGCAGATGATATGATACTATGCTTAGAGAACCCTAAAACCTCTACCAAGAAACTCGTAGAAACAATAGATTTGTATAGTAAAGTTGCAGGCTATAAAATCAATACCCAAAAGTCCATGGCTTTCCTATATGCAAATAGTGAGAGAGAAGAAAGTGACATGAAAAAAAAAAACCCATTCACAATTGTGCCCCAGAAAATCAACTACCTAGCAAATAGCTTAACTAAGGAAGTAAAGGACCTGTACAAAGAAAACTACAAAACGCTACTTCAGGAAATAAAAGAGGACATGAGAAAATGGAAAGATATCCCCTGCTCATGGATCGGGAGAACTAACATTGTCAAAATGGCAATACTTCCCAAAGCACTGTACAAATTCAATGTGTTCCCTATAACGATACCCATGACATTCTTCAAAGAAATGGAGCAAACACTCCTGAAATTCATATGGAACAATAAGCCCCCACAAACAGCTAAAGCAATTCTTGGGAAAAAGAAAATGGGAGGAATCAACCTCCCTAACTTCAAACTCTACTACAAAGCAGTTATAATTAAAACAGCATGGTACTGGAACAAAGGCAGAGCTGCAGACCAATGGAACAGGGTTGAATATACTAACATCTCCCCCCAAACATATGATCATCTAATCTTTGATAAGGGAGCAAGAAATGTGATGTGGAGCAAGGAAAGCCTCTTTAACAAATTGTGCTGGCAAAATTGGACAGCTACATGCAAAGAAATGGGCTCAGATCTCTGCCTAACACCATGTACAAAAGTAAGATCAAAATGGATTAAAGACCTCAACATCAGACCGGAATCCATAAGGTACAATGAATAAAGACAAGGTTAGCAAAACCCTTCATGACATTGAAGCTAATGGTATCTTCAAAGATGCCACACCACTGGCCAAGCAAGTGAAAACAGAGATAGACAAATGGGACTATCTTAAACTAAGAAGCTTCTGCACCTCAAAAGAAACAGTGACCAAAATACAAAGACAGTCTACAGGATGGAAAAGGATATTCACCCAATACACATCCAACAAAGGGTTGATATCAAGGATATACAAAGTATTGGTTGAACTCCACAAGAAGAAAACATCCAACCCCATCAAAAAAATGGGGCGACGAAATGAACAGAAACTTTCTCAAAGAAAAAATCAGAATGGCTAAAAGGCACATGAGAAAATGCTCTATATGCATCAGGGAGATGCAGATCAAAACAACAATGAGATATCATCTCACACCACAGAGACTGGCCCACATCCAAAAGAACAAAAGCAACCA